TATATATATATATATATATATATATATATACACACACACACACACACACACACACACACATATACATATACATATACATATACAGGTGCAGAAGAGGAGTACACCAAAATAAGCATTGGTTGAAGCAGTCCTGAACTTTTTACAAATCCATATTGTTTTTATTTGCCAGCAAAGGAGGATTCTTTGAACAATTTTTACAGAAGTTACTATTTCTCTGTAGTGGATCTTTAATTATATTAGCAGCTTACTGTGATGTACACAACTTTCCTTTGAACTCAGTTTTCAGATGATAATAACTTGAAATTGGCATAACTTCAGAAATGGGAATTAAGCATTCAAAAGTTATATGGTTCAAATAGCCATTAGGCTAACCATATTCAAAAGCCATTAGGCTATTCCTATAGGCTGCAGCAGCCGCTGCACTCTGAGCATAATGTCTTCCACAGTTCCAAATTCCCAAATATGCTTGCCGAGTCTTCTAGCATCGGCCGCTCTAGGAGCACTCTCTATGGTGGGCTGGCTGCTGGAAGACTCTCTGTCCAGAAGACTCTCTGTCCGGAAGACTCTCTGTCCAGCAGCCATGGGAGCTGGGGGGCGGGCAGAGTGCCATGTGGCTTGACGCCTTAGTGATACCCTCTAGGTCAGTGAATGGTGCTCTGCCCGACTGGAGAGGGGATTTGCTGGGCGGTTGCTCATGAGCTTGGTCACCTCATGGCTGCTTCGCCCCTGAGGCTGTGCCCGGATTTTTGGGAGCCAGTTCGCAAGGGAGCAGCCACCCGGCAACTCCCCCCCTCCGGCCAGGCAAAACATCACTCCCCAACCTAGCAGTATCCCAAAGGCACCAAGCAATGTGAGTGCCTTCCCTCCCAGCTCCTGCAGCTTGGTGCCTTCAGGATACCGCTATGTCGGTGAGCGGTGCTCTGCATGGCTGGGGTTGTCCAGGGGGTTTGTTTTTGGGGTGGGCTTATATTTTTGCCCACGTGAAAAATGTGGCAAGGCTTTAGTTTCAGGATAAGGTCGTATTTTCGGGGAAACACGGTACTTCCAACTGAAAAAAATCATTAAATGTTAATATATTTAAATTTAGCAGCTAGAACAATGCAGCTGTACAATGAGCCAGAACGCACAGTTATAGTTGATTGATTGGAGAGTGCTGGCTCCCACGTGAAGGCAATCTATGCTGTGATTGGTTGCTATTGATCTGGAGGGTGAGTTTTCCTTTTTCCTCACCTTTTTTCTTAGGTGTGCTCTGTGATTTACCTCATGTTGTAGTGATGT